TTCTCCCTCGTGTGCGGGTGCAGCTTCCCTCCGCGTGTGTAGCCTCTTCCCAGTCCGTGCGTGAGTTTCTATCTGCCTCTGTTCTCTCCTTTCTGTGTATGGCGTCTCCCGGCTTTTTTGCAATTAATTCCTCTCAAAGAAATTCTCCTCATGTGGCAGCTCTCCAACGAGACTAAATAATTCACCCTCAATACTTCAATTAGCCTTGAATTTCCCAAGTATTCAGCTTGCGTAGATCCTTGTCATTCAATTTGGACTTTTGATTTAATTAATAGAGCCCAATTGTGGCCTATTTTTGCCAGGTATGAAGCACCATCACATTAGTCCATTCAAATTTTCGGTTGGCACCTCGTCTCCCAAAAACTCCAATATTCTGAAAATAAACCATAAAAATCAAAGTATATGAATCCATCCAAATAATAAATAAGTCGAAAAATATAAACGTGCGAATAAATTAAGCATATGAAAATACACTATTAAACATATAAAACGTGCACATTTTTCGACCTATCATAGTCTAATAGTTTGATTGTTTGATGGATGATCGTAATTTTGTGGATGGTGGTTTGTGCACAAAATAGTTTAATGGATGATGTTTTGGATTTTTTTTTTATTTGATTCCTAATGATACTTGTTTTCTTAACGAAAATTGATTATTCCAATTTTTGGTCAACATTTACAAAACGTAGTACCAGACATAGAGTAAGATAGTACCAGTTTTATATTGTTGTAGTACCTGGTATTGTGTCTTTAATACCACTTATAAATGAATACATAAAAACACCGAATTTCGGTTTCAAATGATGTTTATATGACCTACGATCACTCTCACATTAGTTTATATGAGATTTAAAATATTTTTAATTAATTTTAATCATTTAATGGTCATATGGTACCACATCTTATTCTGCTTGGTACCTGATTTCGATCGAATAGTACCTACCTTTTTGAACAAAAATTGATTATTTCAATTCTGCTCAACATTTACAACACGTAGTACCAGTCATAGTGTGAGACAGTACCACATTATGGAGAGTTAGTATCACATATCATGTCCCTAGTACCACTTGTAATAAACACATAAGAAGACCGGATTTCGGTCGCAAATAATGTTTATACAACCCATGATCACTCTGGCATTAGTTTATATAAGATTTTAAATTTTTTTGATGGAGCTTAATCGCAAATTGGTCATAAACTCGATACACTAATGAGAAAGTACTACTACTAGACTTCATTTCATTGAATGACACACTTCATCTCATATAAATCATCATACATGACTACTTCAAATTCTATCTATATGTTTTCAATTCCTCTTTTTTCATCCAAATCAAGTGTGAATGATCCATGTGTCATGATAGACAAGAAGGATTAAAGAAATCGCGTTTTTTATAATAGTACCGGTTTTGGGAAATATGGTACCACATCTTATTCTATTTGATACCTGGTATCGATCGAATAGTACCTACTTTTTTGAACAAAAATTGATTATTTCAATTCTGCTCAACGTTTAAAACACGTAGTACCAGTCATAGAGTGAGGCAATACCATATTATGGAGAGTTAGTATCAGATATCATGTCCATAGTACCACTTGTAATGAACACATAAGAAGATCAAATTTCGGTCACAAATAATGTTTATACTAGCCATGATCACTCTGACATTAGTTTATATAAGATTTTAAATTTTTTTGATTGAGCTTAATCGAAAATTGGTCATAAACTTGATACACTAATGGGAAAACACTACTACTAGACTTCATTTCATTGAATGACACACTTCATCTCATAGAAATCATCATACATGACTACTTCAAATTCTATCTATATGTTTTCAATTCCACTTTTTTCTTCCAAATCAAGTGTGAACGATCCACTTGTCATGGTAAACATGAAAGATTTCGCGTTATTTTTTTTTATAATAGTACCAGTTTTTGGAAATATGATACCTCATCTTATTCTGCTCGGTACCTGATTTCGATCGAATAGTACCTACTTTTTTGAACAAAAATTGATTATTTCAATTCTGCTCAACATTTACAAAACGTAGTACCAATTAGAGTTTGAGGCAGTACCACATTATGGAGAGTTAGTACCAGATATCCTGTGCCCAGTACCACTTATAATGAACACATAAGAAGACCGAATTTCGGTCGCAAATGATGTTTATACAACCCATAATCACTCTGACATTAGTTTATATAAGATTTTAAATGTTTTTTATTGATCTTAATCGCAAATTGGTCATAAACTCGACACACTAATGAGGAAACACTACTACTAGACTTCATTTCATTCAATGACACACTTCTTCTCATAGAAATCATCATACATGACTATTTCAAATTCTATCTATATGTTTTCAATTTCACTTTTTTCATTCAAATCATGTGTGAACGATCCACGTGTCATGGCAGACATGAAGGATTAAAGAAATCGCATTTTTTATAATAGTACCGGTTTTGGGAAATATGGTACCGCATCTTATTCTGCATGGTACCTGATTTCGATCGAATAGTACTTACTGTTGTGAAGAAAAATTGATTATTTCAATTCTGCTCAACATTTACAAAACGTAGTACCAGTCAGAGTTTGAGGCAGTACCACATTATGGAGAGTTAGTACCAGATATTCTGTCTGTAGTACCATTTGTAATGAACACATAAGAAGACCGAATTTCGGTCGCAAATGATGTTTATACGACCCATAATCACTCTGACATTAGTTTATATAAGATTTGATATTTGGTTAATTAAGTTCGATCACTCAACACACTAATGGAAAAACACCTTAATTCAACTCATAGAATGGTACCAATTTCTACGAAAATAATACCACTTTTTCTTCTACGTAGTACCTGTTATTGATCGATTAGTACCAACTTTTGTGAAGAAAAATTGATTATTTCAATTCTGGTCAACATTTACAAAAAATAGTACCAGTCATAGTATACTATATTCTAATTTATGGCACGATAGTACCAGATATCATGTCCCTAGTACCATTTGTAATTAACAAATAAGAAGACCGAATTTCGGTGGCAAATGATGTTTATACGACCCATAATCACTCTGACATTAGTTTCTATGATATTTGATATTTGGTTAATTAAGTTTAATCGTAAATTGGTCACGAACTCGACACACTAATGGAAAAACACTACTTATTACACTTCAACTCATTGACTGGTACCAGTTTTGATGGATATAATACCGTTTTTTCTTCTACGAAGTACCTATTATTGATCAATTAGTACCAACTTTCTGGAATGAAAATGTAATACACCAATTAAAACTTCACAAAACCATCACCTATATTGCAGTATGAAATGCCAGTATATTATACAAAAAATCATAAAGTGTCATTTACTACCCACTCTTTGGAATGAAGATGAGTACACAAGTATGGACGAGATTGCATTTTCGGATGGCAAACTGGTGATCCCCTTTGTATAACGATGCATATACTCTCCATTCACAATCCGAGAATCGATTGATTTATCTTGAATGGCTCCAAGAATCTGTCCCTCTCCTTTGATGCAATATCTCCAAGAATCGATCGATTTATCTTGCAATAACGGCTCCGATTCTCCATCCGAGAAATCAAAAGGAGGTACGTTTTCCCTGTGTTAATGTTGAAAAATTAATGAAGATACAAATACACCATATTTCAATAGTAAATTCATTAATAATATAAAAGCAACATTACCGGCTCATGTTCATCGGTCTATCATCCCGTCTTTCATTTCTTCCAATGACCGGGCTTTCATTTCTTTCAATGGCAACTATATCTACAATATTTATTTTCCAATAAAGATGTAGCCGAATCATGTCTCTTACATCCTCATCATCAAACAAATTAACTCTCTTTTTTTCTTTCGGCGCAATATAGTTTAACATGACGGTTTTCCAACTAAAATTCGGCCACCTCTTACCAATGAGAGTATACACTTCGTCAAGCGTTGATGCAAGGCTCATAGAGAATACATACAATTCATTTTTGTAGGTTGAACTCTCTAATATATCACTTTGTTCTCCTTCCATGTTTCTATTAAAAATTGGATAAAAAACAAAACAACTTTACATTTTTCCCACTAGATATGGTACCAAACAGTTAGAAGTGTGGTACTATATAAACAATCAGAGGTACCAAAATAAAAAATAGTGGTACAATGATTATTCTAATCTTATTTTTTTTTTTTTTTTGTTTTATGGTGAATAACACCTAACATAGCCTAAAAATAACATAAATTTGGTATACATGAAGAGCAAATTAACATAGCCTAACAATGACATAAATTAGGGTAAATATGAACAACACTAATCAAACTTCAATCCATAACAAATTAACCAAAAATATATGAATTAAAGATGATTTTTGGACTCCAAAGTTCTCATGTAATACATATATTACTTACTACATCAAGTTTTCGTAGGAAAAAAGGCTCAATGTTGCCGGATAAATATCAATTTTTGCCGAGAGAAGTTTGTCGTCAGAATAATTTAGTTGCCTTGGTTTGTTGCCGCCGGACTTGTTCTCTCCGGATACAATTAATTAAAGGGTGGCTGGGATGGGAACGGGGAGGGGCGAAGAACTGAGAAGAGAAAAAAATGGGGTGACCATATGGATGGGAAAAAGTGGGGAGGGAATGGGAAAAAGTGGAGAAGGGGTAGTAGGGGGTGACTTCTTTTAAAATTATATTAGTTGTGTAATAGTTGTGTAAGAAAAATAATAAATTAATAATAAAGGGAGTATGTTAGTGGGATTATGTAATAAAGGTTTTTTTTATTTATTTTAATAGGAGAGATTTAAGAAGAAGTTTATTAAGGGGTAGGGAGCTAAAAAAAGAAATAAAGGTATAGGAAATAAAGAGGAAAATGAAAAAGGAAAGGAAAAGAAATCAAGAAATGGTCAAGAAGCAAGAATAGTAATTAATTTTTTCGTATATTTCCACCTCACATGAGCATTTGATTCCCCGTCTCCGAAAGGGTTAATTATGTTCCCACTCAAACTCGTTCGCTCTCTCATCTCCGGCGATGACGTCACCAACAACCCCCTCCTCCTCCGCATCCACCACGACCACCTCGAAGAAAACGACGACGCCATCAACTCATCGTCCAAATCGAGAAGAAGAATACCTCTAATGCTCTTCAATCCAACTCAAGAACTGGTCAAGGACACCTACCGATTGGCCTCGATCGCCCGAGCCATCGGCATGGATTTCCACCCTAACGCCTCCCTCTCCCACATCATCTTTTCATGGCCATCGCCGCCCGGCGCCTCATCATCACGCACATCAACATCATCGTCGTCGGCATCATCATCATCATCATCTTCTTCGTCCTCCTCACATTTCGCCTGGTCCCTGCAAAACGACACCGTCGCCCTACCCTTCCCCTCCTTCGCCACCGCGTCCCTCTCCAACCTCCGCCTATTCGCCGCCCTCTCCAGGGGCCACTTCAAGCTGGCCTTCCTGAAAAACAATTGCGCCCCTTTCGAAAAAATTGAGGCCTTGAGCAATAATAACTGGCATTGCAGCTCGTACTCCCTGTACTCTTCGCGTACAGGTGAGAGAATTGACTCAATTGATGATCTCTCTAGGGCTTTGCTTGGGAGCGGATGGACCCTTTTCAGGACCAACATCAGTAGAACAAAAAAATCCCGAGAATTTCTCGATAGGGCGATTTATTTGTACCGGAAATCGGACGTGAACAAAATTTCTAGTGCGAAACCGGCGATCGAGGACGGAAATGGAGATTCCAGGGATTGCGGTAGGGTTAGGGAGCTGAGGTTGCCTCCATTGGATTTCAGAAATGTCCCTCTGAGGATTCTGCAGTATATTCTTCTGATGACTGATGATATTTTCTTCCTCGCCTAGTATGTTTGAGTGAGTAATTTTACCTTATTTCAATTTGTTACTGTTCTGTTTCTCTAGTTTGGTTCTCTCAGTGGGTTGCATAGTTGATTTTTCTTTGGTGATTGTATTTTGTTGGTAAAGTTTTAAACCTATAATCATTGTCCGGTTGAGATAGATTTGCATATGTAATAATGTGATAATCCAACTATTAAGGAAGTGTACGAAGAAACCAAGAAAGAAAAGTTTTCCCCTGCTTCTTGTCTGTGGGTGTTCACTATTCTTTGTGTTTATGCTCAATAGGAATGGATATGGGGGATCTGATTCATTTTTCGGTTGCAGCTTATGTTCGTACCGGTGGTACAGGGAACTATGTCCCAATTGTTAAAATGAAAAAAAAAAGGGGGGCTGAGCTATAATAATTAGCACTTTAGTTCTTTTTCTCATTGTGTAATAATGTGGCTGCTATGTTTGATGAATTTGTTGTAAACCTTAAAAGAAAGAAAGTATATCCCTGTACTAGTATTCTTCTTTGTGATGATCAATGGGACACAGCTTATCATTTTCTTGATAGTAATGTAAATTATGTCGCATCTTTAACTTTATTATCCTGTCTGTCGAATGTCATTTACTTAAACGTTTTGTTTCTTGGGATATGTATTTATTTGGCTCTATGATGGTTACTCAAGTGGATGAGGGACGGTTGTCATGATGGTTCTGCACCAAAATGGGGCTCTACGGCATCTGCTTCATAAGATTGATTTATATAAGATTTAAGTTTCGACAATTATTTTTTACAAATTCGGATACAAATTTCTTTTAGGTTGTTTTTGCAATGTAATAAATCGATGGATGTCAAGTACTGGGGCTCCTACCTTGTGCTATATTTAGTCTCTTTCCCACGTCTTTCCCTCAAATCCATATATTTTAGTTCAACTGAAGTTTCAAAAGTGAAAAACAGTACGCATTGAAGACCAAATATAGTTGCGTCCTTTTGTTTCTTCGTCTTGGGCATTTCTTGCTGTTTACATAATATATAAATGTTACTTGGGTTATTATCATGAATTTGCACCTCCTACATCTGTTGTTTCCCTTGATGCTATCTGCAACTTGGAAGGTTGCGTTTGTAAGAGATAAAGATTTCGTTCATCTGAAATTGGATCTCAGTTGCTTAAAAAAAATTAAAAGAAAATCTTTTTTGGAAGTCTCGTTAGGAAAACAAATCCATAGAAACCTTGGCTTGCGTTGGCATGACCACAAATTTATATGATATATTTTGTCGCGCAATTTATTATTTCTTATTTATTTGGAATCCACATAGGAACTGCTTAAACTGTGATGTCAAAGGCTATATAATATTGTTTTTCATATTTTATGCAGTACCCGGTCAGGATTTGAGGATGAGGTTGCATCCCCATATGTGGGCGCATTCAAAGGTCGATTGAACTTACTGTTTCAAGCAGACTTACTCAGTCATGGCATTAGTTTTAACTGCAGACGGGCATGGAATTGTGAATATAGAGTTATGTTACCATAAGTGGAAGGGTTCATGGAGCATCATCCGAAACTTGAAGGAGTTGAGAATAGATGCTCGTCATCGACTGTACTATCTAAAGTAGAATATAGTATTTGCAGATTAGGATCAGAAATCTCCTTATCATGCTGGCAATGTAATGTAGCTCCTTTAGATAGAGTTATAATCTTGAATTCAGAAATACCCCTCAAGATTCATAATCTTGATGTTATATTATATGCAAATAGTTCAACTCACGCGGCAAAGTGCGCATGTAATCTGTACTATCTGCTATCTAACAAGGGGTTATACGTTCAGGTATCCTTTGTACATACATACTTGAAATCAAGTACCTAACAAGGTGTTCGAGCAAAACCCATGCTCATTCACCACTATCACCATAACCAGATCAAAGTCCACCACACCCTTGCGGCATGCACTCTTCTAACCGCAATTCCTTTGCGTCGACAGCATCTCGATTAATATCTTCTCGGCACTTAATCTTAATCAAGTCTTGTTGATGTGCGGTTTACATTGACGCGCTTATGTAGTTTAGTACGTCATCGGCACCAAAATGCCTATAGTAACTGAAAAACTGAGTGATTGATCACCAAAAAGTAATAAGTGAGCTCATTATTACCTTATTAAGAGCACTGTGCTTCATTTTCTAGGTAAAAATCGATCAATCTATACTATGTAAAAGTAAAAATAATAATTACATGTGATGATCATGCCATCTTTGATTGTATCTTTTTGGTTTGGCGGTTGACTTGTTGTATATGTTGAAGTAGATTGGTATAAAGGATTTTGCACATTCACATTTTGGTCGGCGAAACTTGGAGGCCCGTTGATCCCGCTGGGTGTAATACTAAATTAACACATGTTGGATAAATAGTTGAGCCAAGAGTAGTCAACGGGTCCCATGTGCTTCAATTCTACTTTTGAAGAACACAACTCCGTTTTCAATTGTAAGGGCAAATCGGTCCGTCTATAAATCGTCATTTTATATTATTTACATTTGTTGAAATAGTATAATGTAAAATAACAAAATATGGGCATATGCTGACAAAAAAGAAAAGTTCCGAAGATTTTGTTATGACAGTAATGATAGGGAAGCCAACAGTTGGCAGGGAAGCCAACAGTTGGCTCCGTTACGGAGCCAACAGTTGGCTCCGTTACGGAGCCAACTGCAAATAAGACAGCTTCATGTGGGGCTGTCTCACGTCACTTTAATGTGGAACAGCCCCACATGGAGTTATACAATTGTCAGCCCCAAATGGAGTTATGTAATTATATAACTCCATGTGGTTCCACATGGAGTTATATAATTATATAAGAGGAAATAGCTATTTTCACCCCGTTCTGAAGTCATACTAAGTTTTTCACACCACCCAATAAAAAACTAAGTTTTACACCCCAAAAAGTACGAAGACATATGTGATGAACTATGCGCTAAATAGGCGACAGGTATGAGCATGAGCGAGAAAATTATGAGTTAAAGTATGCGACTGTTCTACGATGAATATTCGGAGATTCGATGTACGATTCGGTCAATCGCGGTCCGTCGCCCATTAAATAATTATTTTTGTTAGGCGAATGAATCTGCGACTATTAGTCAAAAAATCTTTCTGCGACACAACTGCGACATACCAACGTCGCATAGTATTCGCAGAGTTGGTGCATAATAAGTTTAATAAGTTTATTTCGTGTTTCTTTCATCTTTCAGTTATGCGAGGGTGTATTCGAATTGCCACCTTCGCACTTCTACTCGAAAGTTTATTTTTTATTTTTTCATCTTTCAGTTATTTCAGTTATGCGATGAAGTATGCGATTTTTCGCATATTCGTCGCATACCACCTTCGGACTTCTACTTTAAAGTTTATTTTTCTATTTCTTTCATCTCTCAGTTACGCGATGGGGTATGCGGATTTCCGCATATTGCTCGCATACCACCTACGCACTTCTATTCAAAAATTTATTTTTTATTTCTTTCATCTTTCAGTTATTTCCGTGATGCGATGGGTATGCGAATTTACGCATATTGCTCGTATACCACCACCGTACTTCTACTCGAAAAATTTTATTTTGTATTTCTTTCATCTTTCAGTTATTTCAGTTATGCGATGGGGTATGCGAATTGCCGCATACCACCTTCGCACTTCTATGCGAAAATTTATTTTTTATTTCTTTCATCTTTCAGTTATTTCAGTTATGAGATGGTGTATGCGAATTGCCGCATATTGCTCCCATACCACCTTCGCACGTCTACTCGAAAGTTTATTTTTTATTTCTTTCATTTTTCAACGTTTAATTTAGTTCAACTTTTTTTCTTTCAGGTATGAGAAAATAGAAATGCCACATACATACAACAAACAACAAAATTATAATAAAATACAAAAATAATAATAATAATAATTATAATAATAAAAATGTATTACATGAATCATTAAAGAACTGGGACGGTAATTGTGTCTGGTTCTGTACTAAACTGAAAATTTTTTAGAGCAATTTTGTGCCTCATTGCTTTAACCAACTGATAGTTAGACTTCTTGAAACGCATCGTCCTCGTGAGCAATGTTCGTACCATCTCCACAGCGCATACACCACAAGAAATTTTATCATGTTGCAAGATAGTATTTTTGGGGTCCATGAATTCCAATTCGAACTTTTGGTTCATTCCCTCGACTTCCGCATACGTCGCAATCACTGGAATTAGATTTTGGATTTTTTGCAGTCCTTTGATGCGATTTTCGCGAATGTGCTCGTTCTTCTTTTCTAAATACGTATGCCTTAGAGAGTCAAACACACGTATCGTCCCCTTGTGTAACGAGATTTTGACAGTCACGTAGTGGCCGGTCAAATTCACTACTCCAATAATCTGTTGCATTGAGTTGTGAGAAATTCACTAATTTTTTAGGAAATATTGTAATATTAATTGATTCGGAATTATTGAAAACTTACATATTGAATCTTCCTCCAAGGACACGGATTACCCCAACCGCTGACCCCCTCAGTCGCAATACGAATCAAAGAATTGAGGATCTCCGAGTCCGGGTCCAGTCCCCCCTTATTGAACTCCTTCTCCAAGTCCTCCAGCATCATCTATATAAAATACAACATAATAGTAATAAATAATAATGTTATTAATATATTTATTAATAAAAATGGAATGACAAGGAAAAGAGAGAGGATTAAAATAATCTCACAAAAAACATAGTTGGCACGATGGTGTAAGTGCCCAACATATCTACCCGTGGCTGGAAGTCCAAAAAGAGTGGATTGCTTTGCATAATCCCCAAGTATGCATCAGCGTTCTGTTTTATAAAGTCAAACCAAACATCATCCATCAATTCATTTTTATATGTTAAGATATGACAAGACAAACATATACATACCTCGTTATACATCGTTTCATTCGGATTAACCAGCAGCTGAAACCACTCCTTGTCCACCGCATATGGAATGCCGACATTCCTCCTATTAAATAATATAATTGAAAGTTATTTTTTTT